AACAGCTAGAAGTGGCGGAAATGTTGTCCATCCGAATCCAAGGTGAAGGTGAAGAACATAGACGAAATGGGCTTCCAATACCTTACTGTTGAACTGAAATTATTGAAATTCCTCACTGATGAGTACGGAGATAGTGTATTTCAGCCGCTACTTCCGTCCGTAGTCTGCGAAACGGAATCAGGCTATTTCTTTGCCGATTGCCCCACCAGTATATTTACGAATAGAGCTGTTTAATATTATTTATAACTTTTGTTTTTTCCAAAATTGTAGCGTCACACTCTGTTTATTACATCAGTATTATTCTGCATTACAAGAAGGTTACGGTATTCTTGTTCCTAATGTCATCGGAGCCTGGAACATATTATAAAAGGATTTTTTCTTAATCCTAGGGTAAGGTCGAACTGTATACATCCCTTTATGAATTGTTCCCTTTACGAATTGTGAATTGAATCCCTTTAGAATCTCGGAACCTCACTGAAAAGCGGTAGTAAAGCCAAGATAGCCTGCACATCGTCTTTAATAGCACATATGCGTAGCAAAGTTGAAATTGCTCAGTTGCGTGCATTGTTTCGCTTAACACGAACTCCGTCCTAGAACCTGACAATTTCTTCAGAATTTTTCGTGTACGAGAAAACTCCCAGTAAACATCCCCAACTAAACTGAATCCCTTTAGAATCTGATTTCAAAAGTTCTCCAATAAGAAGAAAGACTAGATTTTAAGTGACTTGCACGTCAACAAGCTAACCCATGGGCCAAAAACCAGTTCTGATGAGATTCTAGAAGGAAAGAAACCAAGGTGAAGCTGGTTGGTATCGCTTGAAAAACTCCTCATACTGGTGGAATACGCTTTAAAGCGACTACAGTATCTAGTCTAGAATGATAGCACGACGCTTCGACATTGAACCTTCGAAATTGTTGACAGCGCGCTAAATGAGCGCTAATTGCACCTTCTACGACAATCGCGTTCCAGAGGGGCCTCAGATGATCCGCTTGTAAATTGTAGCTGCAATCGTGGAGTATAATTCGAACTCGCAGAGCAAAAAAATGATCATTCTCTCCTTCTTTTATTGCTGGTGCTTCCCAAATTTCTGCACACAATTTACTTCGCCTGAAAAAGTTCTCCGGGACTCTAGAAGACATGCTCCCCAGCGTGTTTCCGAGGCGAATCCATATGCCGTAATGGTCCGCTTGCTATGATCAAGACGAAAAGAGTTGGGACAATTGTTGAAAATTTCTTTTTAATTCCTCAATGGGGGAGTACGTCAAGATGTTGTTCGAGGATGACGTTACCAACCAAGCCGGTTTTAATAGAACGGTTGGGTTGACAGTAAGGTTGAGGCCTCGAAGTCCGATTTTGAGTTGCAGTCATTACAATGCTTGGCATCTGTCTCTCCAAGACCTTTTTCAGCAGTTTCCACATACGATTCCTAAAATTATTAATTATTTAACATCATTCCTGATCGACAGGAAATTCGCTAGAACAGGCAGCACTACAGAAATTCTCCTCCATGAGTAACTACAGGTGCTGTCAAAAGTGTTCGCCGAGACGGTTTTTTCAAGCATTAACTTCCCTCTTGAAAAAATCTTGCAAGTTTTTTTGAAGCATTTTTCGTCTCCCGGCCTTGAATCCTCAAATTTGAGGGCTTCCGAAACTACTTACAGGACACAAGCCATCAACACTGTAAGGAATCCAATTAGATGAAAATGATTGATAGAACGAAAACCTCTTCAGCCCACTTTTTACCGCTACTGTAATCTCACTGTTAGTATTGTCAGTTCAGAGATGAAACCAACGTCACCTTACCAGGAAGGTCTTTCAGGGCGTGACAAGCTTTTTGAAAACGGTCTTTTGCATGATATAGGGGCAGATGCGGGAACCACAGAACCATGTTCAATTTTTCCTGAACGGCCCTCTGAATACCAGAAAAGGAGGTCCCTAGTTCGATTAACAAATTTTTGCATTTCGAGTTGACGTGCCAAAATTCGCGCAAAATGGAGTTAGAACCAACCAGAACAATCAGAACTCCATTTTGCGCGAATTTTGGAACGTCAACTCGAAATGCAAAAATTTGTCACCAAGAGGAATCGAACTAGGGACCCCCTTTTCTGGTATTCAGAGGGCCGTTCAGGAAAAATTAAACATGGTTCTGTGGTCCCCGCATCTGCCCCTATATCATGCAAAAGACCGTTTTCAAAAAGCTCGTCACGCCCTGAAAGACCTTCCTGGTTAGTACAAGTGAAACATGGTTGTTCTGGGCACTCAAAGAAATTTTCATCTCGTTTTAGATATTCTAGGTCAGACCGTTGTTCTTTGGAGTAGTGGTGACACCATACTTCTTTGCATTCCTCGAAATCTTGTAGGAGGAAGCCATGCTTAATCACTGCGATACATCTCTATGGAAAGCTCCGTATTGAAAGTCGCTTGTCAAATCTCTCGAGATCATTCAAAATAGTTCTGACCTGCTTTTGTTTGTTAACTGCTGTTTTTTGCTACAGTTAGACTTGCTAAAGTTCCATAAAAAAATTGATGAATTGTGAACAAAACTTCCGCCCCAGGTGGGACTCTCACCCGCAGCTCTCGCTCCCCATAGAGATCGGGACGGGGTTCCAGTCCCGCTGGGGCGGAATTTATGCTCATAATACAGCATTCTTGCGAAAGTTCCGAAATACTTTTCCATTCCTATGTGAAGGATAAAGACGACGTGAACGGGACTGCTCATGCCCTTAGTACACGGCAAGCATAAAGCTTCCATTTGGGCTAGTGGGCACATTTCCACGTAAGGGCGTTTCTTACGGTGCAACCGAAAATTCGATTGAAACGACAACTATGTAGGCAATTTATTTTTATTTATTTGATCCATTTCGCCACTTCAATTCAACAAGAAAGTGAATCTGGTTCGAGGTGGGCATGGACCGAGCTCAACCCCCCCCCCCTCAACCTACAATGTGAATGGTGAGCGGCGCTTCCACGCCATTGCCGCCATCAGCGTTTATACCTCTATTTTTGAGAAATTATATTTTCCAGATTTCATTGCGAATAAACTCGTTTCCTCAACATTCGAGATTCTAATTGCTCTGTAGTTCATCAGAAAAGTATTCACGAATGTGCGGCAGCCTTACTGCGCAAGAAATGTTGGGTATGGGCTCTGCCACGGTGGGTGGGAATTACAATTACATTGAATGAAGGAATCAATGTTAAAAGTCAAATTCGGAGAAATGCAGTGAGATTCATAGAATTCATTAGAAAATGTTAAGCCTCTGTGCATTCTATTTCATGGTGTGGAAGACTGCACATCACTGCACCTCGATACCTCTGCTAAAAGGCGAAATCGCTAAATTAATTAAATTAACAAGTAATGGGACTTTAGTGTTTCCACTCCTACCCCACTGTGAGATTTTCACAGCAGATCTACAAATTTCTATTTCAACTGTTCCTTGGAAGCCCTTCAGACCAGTGGTGTTTGTGTCCGCGGGCCAAGTGCCGCACTATTGGAGCGGTGAGGAACCGCCATAAATTTCGTCAAAAATCCTGAATGCACGGAAGGCTAAGCAAATCTTTTGTTTGGGAACTGTAGCCACACGACCTGTCTATAATACAGGCCAGTTTGTACCCTTGTAATGCTGTTTGAACCCAACAAATGGAGGCCGCATCCTGGTTATCCGTGTTACGCGACGCCAATTCCGGCTTGGCTCACCATTCATGTGATTATCGTAGCAAACGTTCGTCCAATAAAATGTGTGCTAAAATAATGTGGCTTGAAGATAGTATAGAGAACTTGACCGTAGATTCCCTCATTAGACGGATTTTCCTCTCCTAACGGTCACCACTCGCGTCAGAGAAACGCCGATACCCAACTTTTGCGCCGTTGGTCAGCACTTAGACTGGGAACTGAAGTAACGAGACTTCATGCAGGATAGGCAATGTGTTACCTACCAGGACACCAAATTAGAAGTTGTTTCGTCAAGTACTTTCGGTTTTATGAACATTTTTCCACACGACACTCAACACGGCGCCGCGCTGTTTAGGTCCGCGGCGAGGTCGATGGTAGTGGGGGCGCGACGGGGGACCCGAGGCCGCGCTCTTAAAGCGACGCTCGGCGCAATGTGGCTGCAGCGTCATTGTGAAACAACTCAATCGTCATGTGGCTCCAGCTTATCGCATCGCCACAGGCCGCGAAGGACCTCCCAAGCCGAAGCGCCAAGAAGGTCGCTTCCACCCGACCTACTCCGCCATGATCCGCAAGTCGGTCTCCGAACTCAAGGACAAGTCTGGATCCTCCAAGGCTGCCATCCTCAAGTACATGCTGGCTCACTACAAACTCGGAGAGAATGTGCCTAAGGTAAGCACTTTCGCCATACTTGATTCTTTAATCTTCGGTTCGCAGTTGAATTTTGCTTGTGTTATGTATTTGCTATATTTCTCGTTTTTAGGTCAGCTCTCAACTTCGTTTGGCTCTGAAGCGAGCTGTCATCAAGGGAGATCTCAAGCAAGTGAAAGGAACTGGTGCATCTGGAAGCTTCAAGCTCGGAGAGAAGAAAGCCGCCGCTCCAGCTGCCAAGAAGGTTAGTGCATATTTCTAAACTTAGATTGCTTCTATATAACTCTTTAGTTAAATACTTTTATCTCTTTGTAAGCCAACTCATTTATTTTCTTTTAGAGCATCACCAAGAAACCCGCTGGTGCCAAGAAGCCGAAGAGCCCCAAGAAGGCCGCTGCAGCCAAGAAGCCCAAGGCCGAGAAGAAAGCGAAGAGCCCGAAGAAGGCCAAGGCACCAAAGGCTAAGAGCGCCAAGAAGCCAGCTGCCAAGTCAACGAAGCCAAAGGCCACGAAACCCAAGGTCTCCAAGCCAAAAGCGGCGAAGAAGGTCAAGGCCTAAGCGTTTTCAATGTTAAGTGCCTTTAACCTTCAGAGATCTCATGTACATATTTCTATTCATTGCCTATACATACATTGCTAATAAAACTAAAAACTAATTGCTTGTTGAATTCTAAACAAAACTGAAGTGAGGTGTTCCTGGTGTTAGCCGCTGTGACATATTCATGGTGAAGAGATGGAGCCCTGGTCTTAAATCTGGGAGATTTATGACTAGTGAACGTCAGGAGTTGGAGCTTTGCGTCAACAAAGTGAAAGTGCTCAGACGGCCTAGAAAACGAGGATGCGTTGTTTTGTTGGGATGTGACCCCACACCAATGAGCGCTAAAATGTTGATGAGCTTCGTTTGATCGGAAGGCTTGACCTTTAACCCATTTGGGCCCAATTTAACTCCTGAACTATGTATGTTGGAAGCGATGCGCGACACTTGGCATATCGATCGGTCACGGAAATTTGCGCTATAGTGTGCCAAACCGGGGTTGAGGTCTGTATTCTGAGTTTTATTCACACAATCGAAAACTATTCACATAGGTTACTGTAAGCGAGATGTTCTGTGCCTCCTCAAAGCCAATTTAGGCGTCAGTTACTCCGATTCTGGATCAGTACTGTTCGTTTTCATTGCGCACGTTTTGTTAACCCTTCGAAGGGTGATGTACTATATTTCTCCCTACGAGGAAGAAAATTTCTCTAAAATTTGTTCCATTGGAAAAATTGCCCCAGAGACCATTTGTAAGGCATATGTGTATGCAAAGGTAAAAATGTGGGGAAGTCAAAAACAACGAGGTGATCGTGTAATTAGGGAACTTTCGGTGCAATTCTCCGTTCCGATTACAGTAACCCAAAGTTGAAGAAATGGAGAATGGGCCCATGGAGAATAGGCTAACGAATTCGACTGTCCAAAAATGGAATTAGAATTAATTTCTGACCTTCACAGCAAAACAGAATATCTCGTTTTTCAATTGTTTTGGGCTCTCTGCACCCGACTGTTCCCATCTGCCCCCCCCCCCACCTTTCCTAGCTGCACACAGAGCCAAGAATGCTTCCATGTAATGTAACTTGGAGAGATTTTCATTGTTTTCTCTGATCAGAAGGGAAAAACATGGGGCGCAGTGACGCTTTTTACTCTGCGTTCCTAACCAGCACGGCTAGAACCAGAGAAGAAGGTGCTTCTTAAGAGGAACCGGTTCACAGGGCGACTTTTCAGACTCTGTCTACGACCCTTGGAATGGCTCATATCCTTAGGTAGTCTAACGTGATCACATGTTGCCCAAAAGTGTTGGGTGTGATGACCTATATTGAACTAATATATTACGTATAACTTCTATTTTACTTGTGGATCGTGTAACGTTCTGTGCTGGGTATTAGTGCACACTTTTCTGTTTCCTTCTTTTAACAGCACTCGATTATTCTCACAGGTCTCCCTCAAGTGTTAGGGGTATTTTGACAGGCGGGTTTTATGTAATCGGTGGCAGTTTCCACTTGAGCTTTCGATCCTGAACTGAGAATTACACATTAAATCAAAAAAAGTATAAGTAAAAAATGTACAGAAATCAACGTAAAGAATAAACATAAAATAATAATTATAAATAATGTATAAATGTAACAATAATGATCTCATACGAGTATTAATACAGGTCTAGCCACTACGGAGCCTGAACTAAAGCGCAACCCTTCAGTGGTGCTGTAAATCGGGTTACGGTGGCGCTATTTTCTAGCACTCAAAAAATGCTTTTGCTCGCATGGAAACATGCGGTAATGAACAACTTATGACATATTGAGAAGTGTTTCAAAAAGTAACACATTTTTTCCCTGTGATTAGCTTACAAAAAGTCGCACGAGTGTACAAAAAAAGGAAGCGAGTGTGTGTGTGTGTAATTCGGAATTTTTTAAGAACCAGATCCTCTAACCAGGAAGGTCTTCCAGGGCTATTTGAAAACGGTCTTTTGCATGGTATAGGGGCACATGCGGGAGCCACAGAACCATGGTCAATTTTTCTCTTAAACGGCCCAGATGCAATACCAAAAACTCTGGGTATTCTAGTTCGATTCCTCGTGGTTGTGACAAATTTTTGCATTTCGAGTTTGACGTTTCCAAAATTCGTGCAAAATGGAGTTAGCTGTTGAATAATTAGTACCATATTCATGATTAGGACCGTCAGTAACCCTTTACAAATAGACTTTGATTAAAAACTGGTGAGAAAGTCGGCACCTCTGAAAGACCCTCCTGGTAAAACAGTGCGCAACGTTTCTTGCTGGCCCCATTCCCAGGAAACTAAAGTGCAATAGCAATTTTGACTCGTCTTGTTTGTTTGTACCACATGTTCACGCTGCCGAATGTTTCACAAGAATACTGGGTTATGAAAAAAAAACCCGGTGGTGTAAGTTGTGGCACACTTGCCCGGTAAGCGAGAGGTGCGAGTTCGAGTCCGACCTGGGCGAAATTTTGTTCATATAACCCAGTATACAGTACAGTAGTGGTTCGAATCATAATCAACTTTGATATATCCCCGTTCTTCCCCGCCAAAGTTTCTTTGTTATTGTTGTTAAATTTTATCTCTCCACTCTTAAAAGGGAGCGATCTCCGAAAGCACGTTTATTGCTGATGCGAATCCTTGATATTGCGCCTGCATCGCTGAGAACGGGCACGCTGGCGCAGGAACGGGGCCCCGCTGCCCGGCGCGAAATTCAAATCGCCAATGAACGGCGTGGCGTCCACTGCGCTGACCTTGTGTGATTAGGAACAGGTGTGGCGATCGCATCGGTGACGATTGTAATTATCTATTATGTACACAGCTGAGGATCAGATAGTTATGCACTCCAAGAGGATTTTTAGGAAAGATGAGGGCCCTTAAAGACCCCAAATTCAGATTTGAGATAGCGTGACTTTTGAATTTTCGCACAAAGTTGCATTTGCTGGCCTCTGTGACCGTATCTCAGCACTTCATGAGAGCGTCAGAAGCTTATGGCCGCGATTTTTCGCCGACACTTCTCAACCTTTGGTATTACATTGACAATTGGATGTATTCTCGCCTTTTGCAGGAAGTTCCCGTTTAGACATGCGACCTACTGAGCGAGCTTATCGATCCGTCCTTTTGGTACTTCTGAATTCAGAATTCAAACATTATTTATAAATCCCACAAGTTGTAAGAAGGTCGAAATGCACCTAAAATGCCCTTGCGGTACTGAACCGCTTCAGATGCTTGGCGCATGCCAGTGGGCAGAAAGTGGGGTTGGCCTGCCCTGGGAATAGTTGGGGCTCGCTTCATAGATTGTTCTTGAGAATGAATTCCCAAAAATTCTTATCCAGGTTGATATTTGGTTAGCCTTAGGCTTCCACAGTAGGCTCACGTATCAAACAGCGCGCAGTTGTTCAAGCTCCCGGAAATTTTTGGCATTACGGAGTTTGCAAGCGAGATAGTACCTTAGAGTCAGTCTTTTTCCTCAAGACTATTTGAGCCTGTGCAGAACCAAGAGACTTGGATCCCATTCATGCTCGTAAGCCCGGTCTGCTTACCAGGCAAATGTCTGAAGTTCTCATGAGATGTTGGAAAGAGATCCTAGATGTATGATAGTCATTGGACGCTTACAAATGTTGAAACTAAATCTGCTACGTGAACTTTCCCTAAGGAAAGTTACAAGCCTTCAAAAGTTGGCAAAAAACGTCACTGAGGCGAGCTTACCTTGGTGGAATCACAGTCGCCGTGGCTCTGCGCCAAAAATGAGTCTCATATTCGTGAATCAGGGCACCCATTTACCCTTATAGAACAAGTTCCAGGCAAAAAAACAGTGTTTCACATAGGTTGACCTCATCATTTACAGTTCTTTTGCAACTTCTAAGGCTCAACTTTCTTAGGAAGTTCACGTAACAGTTTTAGCGATCTGTCATTTGTAAGACAGGCTAAGGGCCTCTATCGCATGTACCTTGTTTCTCCTTTCAAATGTTCCACGGGAAGTTAAAAACATTCTCTGGTTAGTTTAGTCATCTCGTCAGAGTAATCAGGATCATGTTGACCATTAATGGGTCTTTTTCAAGGACGCGTTCGTACATTGGATCACATTGTATTGTCGTACTTTTACGCCAGAGATCGCCCAACACAGGTGTGATACATAGACAGAAATTATCGAGCTTCGAATCAGGTATACGCTGACGTCCAGCATCGGATTGTCACATTTATACTGAAACCTTGTAGGGTTGTTTTAGCATCCCAATGACTACTTCACTCCCACGGAATGCTTCCGTCTGTGCTGGCTTTATTCCTTCGCACTCAAAATTAATGGTTCCATTGTAGTGCTCGTTGCGCCGCTCAGTAAATAGATAGGTCTTTATGGCGGGGCTTGAGGAACGTGGGAACGTAGACCGGCGCCGTCGAACACTGATTGCATCGCGACACAGAGAGACATTCATTCCGTAAGGGAAATCAGGTTCGGGGTCTATGAAGCAGAACCTTTGTGTCCAATGACATTGTCAAGCTTTTCGTCATAGCATAATGCTAAAAGGTGAAATGTTCCACCACCTACCTTTCCGGGTAGCAAAGCACCTCTGCTTTCCCTACACAGATACGCTCTGGAATTTGACCCCTTGGTAGTTGATGATGCACATATGTAAATACCATCTCAATGTATCCAATGCGTAGTCTCACCAAGAAAGAACGAACACTGAACACTCGCTCGTCGATGTGATCACGCGCTTGTCCTACCACGACGAGTCCGTCACCGTATCACCAAATATGGAGGGATAGTGTTACCAGGCTTCGACGGCTCAAGCACTGTTTAGTTCACGGACGTCCGTTGTCAATGGCTTTTGCCACTGTCTCTTTGTTCCCCAATCACGTCTCCTTCTTGCTGTTCAGCGACTGAGGAACATGGCAGAACGAGAAGTAGTGGAAACTGAAATGATTTTTCTGTTTTTTTTTCTATTGTGAGGTTGTGGTATTACTTCAGCTTAATGAACCTGGATTCGATTACCGGCAGAGGCAAAAGCACTTGAATATCGGGCGTGTACAAT